CTTTGGTGATAGAACTCCTCCAGGACGATAAAGACACAGCAACAATTAATTTTTCTCCTTTAGGGAATCTCCTGTCTCCTAAGAGCCTATCTGTGGACTATTCTAGGGGAATAGAAAAGGAATACTTCATCCTCTTCTTCTTTTGAGCCTCTTAGAGTTTTTGTAGACCGAAGGCTTCGTTTGCCTTCAGCCAGATTAAGCAGGAGCCTCTATTCTGATTAGAAGTCTATCACTAGGGAGCAGGGCACCCTGGGCTTAAGTCCTTGCTCCAGTGATTGTTTCTGGATTTATGGATATAAAACACATAAATGGTCCATAATACAGATGCACAAAGCCATCTTTTGTCCTTCCCAACTGAGTGCCATAACCACGAGGTTACAGACTAATTCCCTCTCTCTGATCTAATGCATTTTTAATGTTTCAGAGTAAAAAGTGGAGCAGCTTCAACAGAAGGGACAGACTGTGTTTTCTTCCCTTCCATGTCCCTCTGGACTGTGGGCTGTTTACCTGACAAGTGGAGAAGAGCTGAAGTCTTTGTTGCACAAAGGAAAGCAAACCAGGTCCTTCACCTCGAGAATGTTTTAACCACAGATTTTTATATTAAAATGAAGAATAACCAAGCCCTTGAGGAGAAAACATCAGTTCTGGGTGAATTTCTGTGTGGAGGTTGACTTAGCAAACCCGCGCCAAGACCTGAGGGACTCGGGCATAAGAGGAGCGAGTCAGTCAGATGAAGCCTGAGACGCCTTTGGGCAAATACATCTTCTGGGAAATTTAAGCATAAAAACTGTAGCATCTATGGAGGTTTGCCACCTCCAAGGTCAGCTGTAACTAAGCGAGCAGCGTGAGGAAGTGTGGCTCCAGTTTTAGTACCTAAATTCCACATCAATCTCACCCTCAGCACTCAATCCCTGCCACGGGGCTTTGGTGACTGGGTGGGCTCTCAGCACCGCGGGACCAGGCGAACCTCACGGAAATGCCAAGTGACACATTCGGTAAAAATACTTCTAAAGGCGTTTTTTGGACGTCGGGCCAGGGCCTCGCAGGGGCGGCAGCTGCCCCCCGCCAGGCACGGCCCTGCCCCGTGCGCAGGCAGGCCCCGATCGGGCACATCTCAGCGGCCGGGGCTCCCCGGGGCGG